GTTATTTGTTTCACGCTTCGGGCACACCCCTAACCCCGCCCCGCCCCCCGATGTCATCGTCCATCACGATGTTTCACTGTAGACATCGTCCGATGGCAATTTGGTAGACATCGCCCAACCCTAGTCTCCGCGTTCATCACTAATCACGCAACGTTGACGTATTACGTCATCCGCCAGAACGGCTTCCACATATGACAGACACTGGAAGTGAGAAAAAAAAGTGTTTATTACGTTTGAAATATGGATATAATCTTACAAAAACGCATGGATTCGCTACAGGAGGCCCTTTATTCACCCCCCGGAGCCATGTGAGGGATGCGCGCACTTTATTTCACGTCTTCTATACTGTTGACAACAAAGACCCGCTTACCCCCATTGAAAGTCTTGGAGGGGCCAGGACAATTTTTAATATAACTCCGAATGGATTCGTCTGAAAGAAGAAAGTCAAATACACCTAGGATGCTTTGAGGGTGATTTTCATTTTTGGGTGAACTAACCCTTTAAATAGAGTTATCCATCTATTCTACTGTACATTTTAATATTTTGATGTCTGATGTATTGTAAATGCTTTTTTTAAATAACAGGCAAAATAGAAATTCATATTAAGAAATTAATTTAATAAAATTTAATTTAAAAATTTAATTAATAAAAGTAATTCTTATATTTCTTGTATACACACACACAGGAAGCCAAAAGTTTGTAATAATTAAGATTTTTTTAATGTTTTTGATCAAAGTCTCTGTCACAAAGCTCACAAAGGCTGCATTTATTTGCTCACAAAATGCAATAAAAACAGCAATATTTTAATATTATTAAAACTGAATTTTCAAGCGCCATTACTTCAGTCTTCAGTCTCATATGAACCTTCAGAAATCATTCTAATATTCTGATTTCCTGATAAATTATTAATTATGGTTCTTAGCATCAATGTTGAAAACAGTAATGTAATGTAGTAGTGTTCTGTTTGACAGCAATTAAATCTTCATTTAAATACACTGTCCTACTAACAAAAAAGGACTACTGAATTAACTTTAGTAATCAAGTAAAGTACAAGTACAAGCAAATAAGTAAAATAAAATCCCAAAATGTGTAATATTTTACATATCCGTAACCATAAACTGAATAAAACAACAGTGCATTATAAAATCCAGCATTATTAAAAACAAACCAGAGTCCAATGTTTCCGCCTTAAACAAAATCTTAATGCGTTCCTTATTAAATTAATCCTGTTTCATGAAACAATCATCATAATTTGTTCATTCAAAATGACATATTTGTATAATATTTGTGTTTATTTTGGTCAGATTTCAAACGCGTTTGAATGAAACATCTTCAAATGTATCAGCTGATATCAACGTGTCAACAGCGTATTAACGTACGTTATGAAACTCACAACACAGAAAGTGTAAAATGTATTCCAATATAACGCTGGAAGAATAATCATATGCTTTTAAAATATGTGTACAAAAGCTTGTTTTTACTCACAAACGCTCTTCCTGTCTACACTGCTGCTGCTTCTTCTGCTACAGTCTGTCAATGAGAAAGAAGCGTGTGACTCATTCATGTGTTTATAAGCGCCCCCTGTAGGATGAGCTCCAACATTCACTGTGTTTTTATACAGTCTATGGTAATAATATAATATAATATAATATAATATAATATAATATAATTATTATATATAAATTTATTTAATATTAAAACATAACATATTTTTCTTAAATATATACATGCACATGTTTGTATTTATATATGCATAATAAATATGCACAGTAAATACACATATATTATGTAAACTAAAACTTTTATTTTGGATGCGATCAATCACGATTAATCGTTTGATAGCACTAAATATAACGTAATATAATATAATATAATATAATAATTTTAATCGTACGTTTAACGCTTGAAGCAAAAAGAAAACGTTTCTACAACATAATTAATTTTCTACTTCTAGTATATTAATATAATAAAAATATACAATCTTTTTTTTTATGAATATAATAGCCTATCTTTATTTTTACGTTCTCCGTTTGTACATTAAATTCAACAAAAATATTTTAGTGTGGGTTCTGCATTATAAAAGAATAATTGGCGGCATTAAATGTTTAAAAAACGTTAAATAGAATGCATCGTCTTTCATACATATAATATATCCAGAAAATGTTTCCAAAATGTAAGCGAGAGGTTGATCATCTCAGAGACCGCTCCACTCAGAGGCCTCCCTCACACCGTACACCTCTCCGCTCGCCTGCAGGCGTTCCCCTCTGCGCCTGTCATATGATCAGCTTCCCGTTTGTTTGTATTCATGCAGCAAGCTAACCGCTTCCCACTATGAAACCTCCTCATCTGTATTCAAACTAAACCTGTAATCCACACCGATCCCACCTCAATCACTCAAACAGAGCCCACAGAGTCCACACAGACAGATCAGAGGGATTTAAAGCTTTAAAAACGGGGTTATAATGTCGATCGAGTACGAGGAGCAGCTAGCCGGAAGCCTGGTGGACTCTTTCCCTAAAGATTTCGGCTACGGCGTGGAAAACATGGATATGATGCAGGAAGATCTGGAAAACTCGCCGTCTGCAGACAGTAAACCCAGAATCCTGCTGATGGGACTGAGGCGCAGCGGGAAATCCTCCATCCAAAAGGTCAGATCCCATTGGGATACAGCACTGCACTAACAATTAAAGTACGTTACCATGGTAAAGCCTTGGATTTGGACACTACCGATATAATACCACGCTGTTCTATGAAGTACATAGGTGTAACTTACCGTTTCTTACAAAAACGTACTGTGGCAGTACCAATGGTACAATAATGGTATCAGATGGTAGTGTGTTGTTTTTACGTATACCGTAGTACGTCCAAAAATACCATGGTAACGTTACATGTTCAAACACATTATGGTACCATAGTGCCATAGTACTAATAAACTGGACGTGTAATACCATGGTATTATTGGAAGTATCATGGAGTGCCACAAAAATACAATTGTATATGAATTTCAGTAACGTTACCATGGTATTTTTAGACGTACCACACTATTACCGTCACTGTACTATGGTACCGTCACAGTACTTGTTTTAAGGGACAGTACGTTTTCTAAGCTAAACGTTTTGGTATTTTTTTAAGTGTAACCATTATACATATATAAATTATATGTATATATATATATATATATATGTGTGTGTGTAAATATTTTCAATATATATATTGTATACACACACATACAATATATATTTTGAAAATATTTACACATTATTTCAAATATTGCTTCATGTTGCATTTAGAACTATAATTGCAAAAGAATATTTCCTGTTATTAAGTAACACTTAATGCTGCTTAAAATCCTTCATCCTCTAGAACTCATTTTCTGTTGGATGTTCGTGGATGAAATAATATTGTTGTCTTTAAGATGTAACTAGCCTTGTGTTTATAATTGAATAAGGAATGAATCAGTTATGTTTTATAATATCTGTGTTTGTACATTGCATATACTAATGATGATCTAGCTGACGCCAGTCTGGAAAAGCTTCACCTCAGGTTGGTCATACTGATGCTAAAGCCAGATCAATTTGCCATGATGCAGTCTAATAACAGATAGAGAGCGTTTGGTAGGATTATGTTTTGCTTTCAGCAAGTTCCAGCATGTAATGTGTTTGAGAATGAGTACTAAATAGTGTTGTTATTGTTAAATAAAACTGAAACTTCTAAAAAAAAAATATATATATTTTTTTTTTTTAAATGTCATTATTTGAAATAAAATATAAATATTTGATAAAAAAAAAATAGATAACTAACTGAAACTAAATAACTGAAATAAAAAAAAAATAAGTTGAAGTACTGGGATTACTAAAAGTGAAATGAAAATAAATTAAAGCTAAATAGAAATATATTACAAAAATATCAAAAGCACATAATAAAATAACAAAAACAAACTAAAATTGAAAATATAAAAGTAAAAGCTTATTTATTAAAATATGAATTCTATAATAGTAAATAATAATACTAAAATAACACTGGTAATGCAAGCAATACATTCTCTTGATATTATATTTCCCCTTTTATTTTTATTCCAGGGTAGATGGATGGTCCTTTTATTGATTAAGTATATATGATGTAAAAATTGAACCTACTTAATTCCTTAACAGATATCTCTTATGTTATTGTGCTATGTTCACCAGTGTGGGGTTTAGGAAAATATTTTTATTTTATTTAAAATATTTCATGCAAATCCAAAACTTTTATCCACCTCCAAAACATCTTTTCAAGGTCACTTTGGCCAGGAAAAATAATATTTACCAATATTATCACAGTCTACCATTATTATCTCTGCCTAAACAAAACCTGTTGAATAAAATTAAGTCTCAGTCTACACTATTCTAATATACTAAAAATATGTCACATTGTGAAAGTTCAATGTGTTTATGTTGTTTTTAAAATTATTTTACTTCCATATAATGTTTCCTTTTTTTAATAGTAAGCAAACTGCTTGAATTCCTCTGTCGTTGGAGCTAATTTTCTGGCATTTCTGGATGAAATGTGTTATATGCCATAATATATTATGTATGAATTATGTTTCTTTTTATTTGTTTTCAGTTTCTATCTCACCAGCATCTATGATCACTCCATATTTGAGGCCTTCAGTAAGGTGGTCCAGAAACTCATCCCTCAACTGCCCACTCTGGAAAACCTCCTCAACATATTCATTTCTGTATGTACACGGCTGCATATCCTCACTTTTATTTTCCCCTTTAAATGAAAGAATGTCTCTTTCCAACTGAGCGAGATTCCATTTGTACTGTACTTGGTCTAGTCAAAATCCATAGTGCATATTTGTCAATATATTGTTCCCTTTTTAGAATTCTGGGATTGAGAAAGCGTTCCTGTTCGATGTGGTCAGTAAGATCTACATCGCCACGGACAGCTCTCCAGTGGACATGCAGTCATACGAGCTCTGCTGTGATATGATCGATGTTGTCATTGACGTCTCATGTATTTACGGGTGAGAAACTGGGATGCAGTGCTCTAGAAATTCACTACCATTCAAAAGTTTGGTGTTGGGACGTTTTTTTTTTTTTATGTGTCTGAAAGGCATCTCTTAAACTCATCAAGGCTGCATTTAAGCAAACAAACAGTTAAAACAGAGAAAAATGTGAAATGTTATTACAACTTAAAATAATTGTTTTGTATTATAATATACTTTAAAATGTAATTTATTTCTGTAATGTGAAGTAAAATTTTCAGTTTTGTCATTCTAAAATGCTGATTTGCAGACTGATCATTTTTGATCAGTTTAAAGTGTCCTTGCTCAATAAAAGTGCTACTTTCTTAAAAAATTCTTATTGACCCTAAACTTTTAAACAGTAATGTATACTAGTTTTAAAAGAATAAGAAAAAAGATTCTATCGATTTTGTATCCTTTTATAATGCTGACAGATATAAGATGATTGTTATATATTGTGTCTTCTGTTATGTGTTAGAGCTTTTTTTAACCCATTTGTTGAATGTTTTGTAGCCTAAAAGACGACAGCAACAGTAACGCTTATGATAAAGAGTCTCTGGCCATCATAAAGCTGAACAACACCACAGTGCTTTACCTGAAGGAGGTCACCAAGTTCCTGGCTCTGGTCTGCATCCTGAGAGAAGAGAGCTTTGAGAGAAAAGGTACAGACGTTTGACATGATCATTCGCTATAGAATATCAGCACGTTTCTTGACTTGTGTGAAGGTAAAGTACCACATAGAACCATTTTTGGCGAACAACCTTTCGGCGAACAGTTCTTAAAAGAACCCCTGATTTCAAAAATCGAAAGAATCTTTTTTCCTATACAGAAACTTTTGTGTAATGGAAAAGTTCCATGGATGTTAAAGGGGTCATATGATGCGATTTCAATTTTTCCTTTCTCTTTGGAGTGTTACAAGCTCTTGGTGCATAAAGAAGATCTGTAAAGTTGCAAACACTAAAGTCTCAAAACCAAAGAGATATTCTATATAAAAGTTAAGAGTCAGCCACGCCTACCTAAAACGGCTCGTTCTAACACACCCCCACATACCTACGTCACGATCTCGGAAGATTTGCATAACGCCGCCCAAACGTTCACGCAAAGAAAGAAGGCGT